AAGTATTTGTTACTCTTAATTTTTTTTTTTACTCTTCAAAGAGAACACTTTCGGAACCCTGCGCAAGAAATTCCAGTAGTGTACTGAACGTTCTCTATTATTTTGTTATAATTTTTCGTGTATATAATGTTTAATGATTTATTTTGACATTTTCATTTTGCTTTAGTGTCTTTAAAACTGTACAGTAGTTAAATAGGAATTTCACATTGATTTGTTTCTCGACTACTCATCACGAACATCAAAATATCTGGCTTGTTTCTTTACAGTAAAGCTTTTCGTAGTTCAAATGTAGTTCTGTTTCTCTACTACAAACCTTGACTTAACACCAAGTGGTTCAGGATTTTACCACTTCTGTTATCAAATATTTACCAAATATATTTCAAGGCGATACAGCCTCGCATCTACCTTTTATATAGAATATATTCTAATAAGCACAAGTTATTTCAGTCTCCTATATGTGATCTTAACTCTCTATTGCACGCATTATGAAAATACAGTGGGGAAAATGTTTTCTTTGAATTTCTTACTTAAATAGGTTTATATTGTACACAAAATATGTTTTTGTAAAATATAGATATACGTGGATACATTTCCTAGAAGTAACATCGTTCAATTGAAAAACCAAAAATAATTCCATGGTTTTTTTATACTGTTACCTGGAAGTAAGAGAATTCAATTATACTATTGAAGCATTGGTATTAATTAAATAATAAAGATAAATTTGCTACAATTCGCAATAGAGAGTGAAACGAGATTCACTAGTGAAGACCACGTGTTTAAATTTCCTATAGATTGTTTTATATAGAACATAATAGTTATTCCATGAGTCTACAGTCTCACATGCAGTCTTATTTGGCATTCACTGGTAAACACCACGTGTTTCAGTCTCATATACATAGCTTAAATTGACATTTGCTGTTGAACACCAAGTTTCTCAGATCCCTATATACGATCTTATTTGACATTCACAGGTGAACACCACGTGTTTCAGGTTCTATATTAGGTATAATATGACACACACAACAGTCAACACCAAGTGTTTATCTTATATATTTTCTTATTTGAGATTCACTATGTGAACACGACGCGTTCTAGTCTTCTATACATGGTCTTATTTAACAATCATTAGTACACATCACGTGTTTAGTCTTCTATACATGGTGTTATTTAACAATCATTAGTACAAACCACGTGTTTATTCTTCTATACATGGTCTTATTTAACAATCATTAGTACACATCACGTGTTTAGTCTTCTATACATGGTGTTATTTAACAATCATTAGTACAAACCACGTGTTTATTCTTCTATACGTGGTGTTATTTAACAATCATAAGTTCACACCACTTGTTTTAGTCTTCTATACATGGTCTTATTTAACAATCATTAGTACAAACCACGTGCTTTAGTCTTTATTACCTGGTGTTATTTAACAACCATTAGTACACACAACTTGTTTTAGTCATCTATACATGGTGTTATTTAACAATCATAAGTTCACACCACTGGTTTTAGTCTTCTATACATGGTGTTATTTAACAATCATAAGTTCACACCACATGTTTTAGTCTTCTATACATGGTCTTATTTAACAACCATTAGTACACACCACTTGTTTTAGTCTTCTATACATGGTGTTATTTAACAATCATTAGTACACACCACTTGTTTTAGTCTTCTATACATGGTGTTATTAAACAATCATAAGTTCACACCACTTGTTTCAGTCTACTATACATGGTCTTATTATTTAACAATCATTAATAGACACCACTGTTTTAGTCATATATACATGGTGTTATTTAACAATCATAAGTTCACACCACTTGTTTTAGTCTTCTATACATGGTGTTATGTAACAATCATTAGTACACACCATTTGTTTTAGTCATCTATACATGGTGTTATTTAGCAATCATAAGTTCACACCACTTGTTTTAGTCTTCTATACATGGTGTTATTTAACAACCCTCAGTACACACCACTTGTTTTATTCATCTATACATGGTGTTATTTAACAATCATTAGTACACACCACTTGTTTTAGTAATCTATACATGGTGTTATTTAACAATCATAAGTTCACACCACTTGTTATAGTCTTCTATATATGGTGTTATTTAACAATCATTAGTACACACCACTTGTTTTAGTCTTCTATACATGGTGTTATTTAACAATCATTACTACACACCACTTGTTGTAGTCTTCTATACATGGTGTTACTTAACAATCATTAGTACACGCCACTTGTTTTAGTCTTCTATACATGGTGTTACTTAACAAACATTACTACACACCACTTGTTTTAGTCTTCTATACATGATGTTACTTAACAACCATTACTACACACCACTTGTTTTAGTCTTTTATACATGGTGTTATTTAACAATCATTAGTATACACCACTTGTTTTAGTATTCTATACATGGTCTTGTTTAAGAATAATTAGTACACATCATTTGTTTTAATCTTCTATACATGGTTTTGTTTCACAAGCATTAGTGAACTGGCGTATTTAAGTTATCTGTACATGATCTTATTTGACATTCACTAGGGAAAACCATGTATGTGACAGTATTCTATATATTTTCGGATTTTGGTATTCACTACTGAATTTCAGGTGTTTCGGTTTCCTACACATCGTTTTATATGACACTCATTAGTAATAACCAAGTGTTTCGGTTTCCTACACATCGGTTTATAAGACGTTCGTTAGTAATAATCAGGTATTTTGGTTTCCTACACGTGGTTTTATGTGTCACCAGGTGTTCCCATTTCCTACACTTCTTATTTGCAGTATTCGTCAGTGAATACCACGAGTTTCAACCTCCTATGTGTGGTATTATGAAATATAGAAATAGTGTAGCATAAAAAATGGAGTAATGTAAATTTAATTATAAAATCTTAGGTCGATGGTTCGAGCTTACGTTGGGAGTAACGTGATTTGATAGTAACCATAACACAAAGTCAGGAGAAATTTAGCTATTTTATTAGTATATAGTTTTATATATCTGTAGCCTTTAATGATTATACAAAAGTCAGTAGATCAGCTTCTCCTGCATTGAATTAGACATTTTTTTGGTTCTAGTTCAAATCTTCTATAGAACTGTTTCTAATAATTTGTGTGTTTACGATAGAAAATTGTCTTTATGGAAATGCATTCTGACTTGAAATATTCGGACTGATTGATATGTGTATACTGTATAGTATATGACTTCACATTTAGCTAATGGAAAGCAGTACCTTGAAAACTACTTTCTCGTCTCTTTCTTTCTGTTTACTTTTCTTTGATGCAAACTAATTTCAAGAATGTAATGAAATATATCTTAAACTTTACTCCCGAGGGGTTTGTAAAAATGTAGTTCCAAAGAATAACAAATTCTTCTCCTTAGGAAATTGTGCTCCAATTAAGTACATTATGTTCTTATGGTAGATATCTTTGTTGAAATTTCAATTAAGTACATTATGTTCTAATGTTAGATATACTTGTTGAAGTTCCAATTAAGTACATTATGTTCTAATGTTAGATATACTTGTTGAAGTTCCAATTAAGTACATTATGTTCTAATGTTAGATATACTTGTTGAAGTTCCAATTAAGTACATTATGTTCTAATGTTAGATATACTTGTTGAAGTTCCAATTAAGCACACTATGTGTTTTTGTTAGACTAGTGTAAAAGCCCATTAAAAATGACAATTATAAATTTAAGTAATTCTTTAATCACCATATTTTTAGTAAAACTACGCAGAAAAATCAATTCTTATCGTGAAAAAAGTACGCGTGCACTCTAAAAGAGAGTTATAGTTATATAGGACTCTTGAGCTTTTTCATTGTATTCTACGTCAGGAAGTAGAAACATACTGCCGACATTCCAACACAAAATTTCAACTCTTTCGACTGTACAAAGGATAACAGATATTTGGTAGTAATAAACGTTTAATTTTCTTTAGGTTTTAAGACAAAGTAGGTAATATACGTGTTCAAATACCAAAAGAATATTTATTAATTAACATTTATTCACCACTTAAAACTTTTTAAACACTGCCTCTATAACGTTAGTAATAGTAGGCCTATTCGTAGTCTAATTTAAGTATTAGGCCTAATACATAAACGTAACGTAAGGCTTAGCTAAAACACTAGTTGGTAAATTTTATTTTACTTTTGACTACATAAAACTTCTAAATTAAATAATTGTGCTGTTATATCACCGAAGTTATAAAAAATTAAGAATAAAAACAAACCTTTCTAACAAATCAACATGAATATTAAGCATTCGACATAATCACCATAGTTAGCCTAAGAACAATCAGGTAATAGTTATGTTGCTAAGCGACGATGTATATTGTTGAGCATTACTAAAAAAAGTAGCGTGACAGAGTGAAAAAGGGGATAAGCCTTTTATAGTTAGTGATATCTTTGCTGAAGGTCGCACTTAGGGTAAGAAATCAGAGCCTACTTCATACAACAGGAAGTTGTTTCTAAACACCTGCTTGAAATTCAAAGTTCTCTGGTATCATCCAGAGAGACACTAGATTCTAAGACTTTAAAAAAAGTCACTTACCATTTTTGAATGGTTTTAATGAAATGAAATAAAACTGGAGTAGTTATATATTCTTAAAGAGTCTGACAAATGTAGAAAACATTTTTGTTTTTCTAAGAATCTGTAAAAGTTACTCATAATTACGACCACGTGAGCACACTCTTGTAATCAAATAAATACGCTGCACTAAAGTAAAGGATATTCCAGTTTTTATTAGGATACTGCATTCATTTAAGCATATACATAGGTAAAGCAAATATAGATATGAAATTTATCTAAACAAATTGGTAAATTTAACTGTTAATACATATGTAAATAGTTTTGTAATTTGGATATTATTTTTTCCATTTTGAAACTGATGTTTATCTAAAAATGAAATATTTCTAAGCTAACTACAAAAATTAGAATATATAGGGTAGTCTTTTTTTCTGACCTTAATTCTTAATGTGACAACATTTAATGCAGCCTTATATAAAAATCAAGTGTATTCGTGTGGCAACAGAGATAACTCAAATTAAAATTCCTTTCAGACAGAAGTCTACAACTTTAGTGGAGCTTTATCGTTGATTCACCTGTTCACGTAGCAATCCGATTTACAACACTCAACTAGATGTAGATAATTCATCATAATGAAGGTTGTTGAAAGCTGCCTTTAAATACCAGCAAACCCTTCACTGACAGCTAATAAGGTCTTGATGATGGATTGTGAAAAGCGCGTGTATGCATTTAACCACAGCATCAGCTACAAAGGAAGAGAAATAGAAGATTTATGTGACTATAAGTCTGACAGGAGCTGATGAATTTTCTCAATGGGGATTAATCAAATGTTGTTGTCTGGCATTAGTTAGAACGAACAAGTGCCCGTCAATTAGTGAAACGTAGTGAAATAATTATTACATGCTTTCACAAACAGCTTTGACTGTTCACCTATTAGATAATGATGTCCTTTCACAACCATTATACTAAACTCAGAGTTTTAAGTTAAAATAATTAATAATTAGGCAGTTATTAATTATGAACACATTACTCCTATATAGAAAGTACTTTAGAATTATCATGAATTTATCAGTGTATGTCATTAAAAATTACGTCCAAATTACCCAAGAAAGACTTGAAGTTATTAAACGTTTCATCCTTTCTCTAAATAATTTATGAGCCGTCACAGAAAACACTACAGGGTTAACTTGAGCATATATGCTCACTGGTACACTTACAAAATTTGAATTTGAGTATGCATATTCTTAAAGGTAGGATGTCCCTGCTTCTTAAAATATTCCATCCAATGTTACTGGTGGAAGTACAGGTATTATCATCTTCAAACAAACTTAAAATAAAATATCGCTAAAAAATTAACTTAGAAATAATATTGTATTTTTAATTAAAACCCATGAACTAAATGTATATAAGAAAAATCACAATGCACAGTATTTTCACTTGAACCAATCGGTGAAATTTTCCGCTTTCAGTCGTAAGGAGAGAGCGCTTTGCCTAATATTCGGGTTGCTATAGTAATGGGTACTAGCCTGGTAAACAACGCCGAGTGAACAAAAAATCGATCTTCGCAGTTCAAATTTTGTCTTAAACTAGAAGATGATAAGTTTGGAGACCACGAGAGCTGTGATATGAAACTCAGTTCTTATACATTATTGTAACGAGGCAAACATAACATTTTCTACTAAATCCTGAAAAACAAATGTTTGGTAGTACATTGTTTTGTTTTTAGGCTTAGTAAGACCAATAGGAACTTCAGAACTTAGTAGGATCAATACACACTTCAGAGCTTAGAAAGATCAATACACACTTCAGAGCTCAGTAAGGTCAGTAGGTACGTCAGAGCTAAGTAAGATCAATGCACACATCAGAACCTAGAGAGATCAATATGCACTTAGTAAGATCATTCTTCAGCAAAAGGTTACTCAAACCAAATTTTCTCTTATATAATCAAAATATCACTATATGCTATTTTCTAATGTTTTGTGTTGTTTGACAAGTAAACCCAAGAAGGGGTATAGTTTGCAGAAATACACAAACTAATGTGCTCTAATAAAACAAGTAGTACAATCCATTGCCTATTTGATCATGGACTTGTCAAGCACAAATTATATTATTTTATGGCTTAGGCATAAGGGTTCATTAAACCAAACGAATGTGGTAATGAAACGGTAAGATAGAGTCCGTAAGTGTTTACTGTTTATGGATGTTTTCCTCATCCAAATATCTAATATTGTTTCATGAAAGTCTAACAATTTAGTAATAGACAGCATGGCTAGTACTACGGTCACGTTAATGCTTAGACAACACAGGAGACCAAAACTAGAAATACTTTCATATATCTCTTTGTCATTAAAGATAGTTTTGCAACGATCTGCAGGTATCACTACGGGAGTCTTTTCACTTTGAAATAGTGATGACTGTTACTGTGGAGGCAAATCATGGGTTTCTTAAGATAACAACAAAGATCGGTGAAAGCTGTTGTAATGAATTTATCATTATATATTTATTTTAATATCAACGTTTGTTTTGATTAAATTTATATTTACAAACATACATAGCTTACACTGTTAAATATGTATTGCGAAACTCCCGCCTATTCTCCAAAGTTGT